GGTGGGGTTCATTGTGGGTGAACTATAAATCCCAACAACTACAACTCCCAAATGGCAAGGTCTATTTTCTCCAAACTCTACCAGTGTTCACATTTGGGCATATTGAGTATTTGTGCCAAGTTTGATCCAGATCCATCATTGCTTGAGTCCACAGTCTGGATATAGGTGAACTACAACTCCAAAAACTCAAGGTCAATGTCCACCAGACCTTCCCAATATTTTCTCTTGGTCATGGGAATTCTGTGTGCCATGTTTGATTCAATTCCATCATTGATGGAGTTCAGAAGGCTCTTTGATTTAAGGTGAACTATAAATCCCAGCAACTCCAGCATTACCAAATGACAAAATCAATCACCCCAACCCCACCAGTATTCAAATTTTGGGCGTATCGGGTATTTGTGCTAAATTTGGTCCAGTGACCAGATATTTACATTACAATTCATAACAGTATCAAAATTACAGTTATGAAGTAGCAACAAAAATAACGTTATGGTTGGGGGTCACCACAACATGAGGACCTCTACTAAGGGGTCGTGGCATTAGGAAGGTTGAGAACCACTGTGGTAGAGGGAAAATTCTGGGAAGTATGCCTGCATCTATGGCAAGCATCCTCAGAGGTAGTGAGGTGACTACCTCTGAGGATGCTTGCCATAGATGCAGGCGAAACATCAGGAGAGAATGCCTCTAGACCATGGCCATATAGCCCGAATAAACCTACAACAACCCACTTGGAAGGAGGGCCGAAGTTTGCCCATGCCTGATGTATGACAACCCAGGGCATACCTCATCAACTACGCGGGTATCTCCCCGAAAACATCCCTTACATCAGGCCTGCACAATATGCGGCTTGCGGGACGGATATGGCCCTCACTAGAATTTGGTGTGGTTTGCAGAGGCTCCGAACTTAAGCCTTATTTAGAGAGGGAGATCATATGCAACGCATACCCACCATCCTCCCTTTCAAATGTTTTGCCTCTTTAAGTTTCTTTTTGCAATGCACCAAAGATACTAAACTAACTTGGCTCCGTTGCTCTTTTGTTTTGTTTGCATCTGGGTCACCTCTGTCGTCTCCTCGGGGAAAACTGTTGTAGATCAGCCAGAGGCTGACGGTTTGACTGATTATTTAGTGAGGAAAGTGATGGGCCATAAAGTCTGGAAAATTATGGTTCGGCTCGGAAAGTGCAGGGACTCAAGTCCAGTCAGAGGAGCCAGAAGTAGCAACAGCAGATAAGGAATCGAGTGAAGAGCTGAGTGATAAGAAGGGTTGCCAGGAGAAACCACCTGTAGCTACGGAGATCAACAAAAGACTTTGTTTACAAATTGGAGCCAAAAATAGATTGCATCGGTCAGAAATATTACGTGGGAAAGTTGTGGAGAAAATTCAGGAGAGACGTAATGCTTTCATGGGTGTCTATTAAACAAGTTGTTTACCTTAAGGGTAACGCAATGCTGTGTTTGAGCGAAAAACTTGTCAGGATTATTTGGTTATGTATGTGTGTTTTTCAATGTGTTTCTATGTGCTTCAAGATGGATTAAGATGTAATTCAAGATGGAGTCTATTCTGCTCTATTGTGTATAAGAAAACACAGTGCTGAGGCTGTGAAACTGTAACCTTGACAGAAATGAGATAACGTGTTCTTTGCTTCCCTCCTTTCTTTTCCCCTTCCTCCTCCTCCTCCCCTCTTCCTCCTCCCTCTCATCCACCCCTTTCTCCCCTCCTTCCCCCCCCACTACCACTCCCCCTTTCCCCATCCCCTCTCCCCCCCCTACCCCCCTCCCCCCGCTTCTTTCCCTCTTTCCTCCCTCTCACCCTCTTTCTCCCCCCTCCATTCCCCCCTTTTCCCTCTTTCCTTCCCTCCCTTCCACCCTTTCTTCCCTCCTTCCTTTCCTCCCTTCTCTCTTTCCTCCCTTCTTCCCTTTCTCCCTCTTTCTCCTTCTTTCCTTCCTTCTCTTTCCCTTCCGTCCCTCTTCCCCTTCTCTCTTTCTCCCTCCCCTCCTCCCTCCCCTTCCCTCCCCAACATCTCCCATACAAGCCTGCCCCCCCTACCTCCCTCCCTCCCCCCTCCTTCCCTCTCCCTTTTCCCTCCTTCCCTCTCTCCTTCCTTCTCTCCCTTTTTCCTTCCTTCCTTCCTTCCTTCCCTCCCTCCTCTCTTCCTCCCTCCTCCTCTCTTCCTCTTCTTCCCCCTTTCTTCTTTCCTCTTCTTTCCCTCTCCCTTCCTTCCTTTTTTTTTTTTCTTTTTCTTTCCTTCTTCTCCTTCCCCCCCCTTGACAGAAATGAGATAACGTGTTCTCTGGCTGGGAAGAAGAGGGAGGATCTGGTCTCAGCCAGAAGTCAGATAAGCAGATGTTCAGAGACTGTTGTTTGTGCCTAGTAGTTCCTGTCTGTTGCTTGCTGTGAATAGACGTGTATAGATGTACTTAGTAAACTTAGTTTTCTGTTGTAACTGAAAGCTTGCAGAGTCCTTTTTGAACACAGTGTCTGCTGATCTACCAATCCTTCCGCTGGCAAAGCTTCAATACTCTGACAAAACTAAGCCTGAGTTCTCTTGTTCTTGGTTCAAGCCTTGGTTTTGGATTCAATATATCATGGAAGTTTTCTTTGTTCCTGTTCATGTACTCCTGTTCAAGTTTTTACTAGTTATGCCTTCTTGCTTGTGGACTTATGCTATACCTAGGATTTCTTGCTGTTCCTGGACTTTGTCACCTCTGGAACTTTATGAGACATTTGGATTACTATTTGGTTATCACCTACTGCTAAACCTTTTTGGATTATGTTTTCCTTTTTTATTCCTGTTTTTCAATATGTCTTTTATGTGTTCTACAATAAACTTTGATTATATTCCTGGACCTGTGTGGTGCGGTGGTCATAGGTGTTTCCAGGTCTGGAGTGCAACTAAAACACCAACTCCGCTATTCATTTCCCTCGTTCATGAGGGAGAAACATGGCATCACCATGAAGTTGTTGTGGGGTTAAGGACTTCATCACACACCATAAAACCAGTGTTTCTATGCATTTAAGAAATGGCTACTGACTGAGCCCCTCACAGAAGTTTGTATTGTGGGTTCTAGGTATTTCACTGTTCCTAAAGTGTGCTTCCCCCCAATGATTCCTAAGTTGATTGATAACTGACTACTTCATTTAAAATTCCCTGTTCAGAAACGGGTAAAAATGTAAAATTTAACGTGTGATGGGAATTGTAAACATAATGATGTCATCGTTCTGGAAGGAGAACTGAGTATATAATTCTTTCCTCCCCATAATCTTTTTGGGATCGAGGAGGAGGAAGTATGGGTTGCTTCCCTGTAACCATGTTTCTCTGAGTGGTCACCTATGAATTCGCACATATGGTTTATTCCTGCCATATGTGCGATTCACAGTTGACCATGATGGAGAAGTATGGGTTGCTTACCTGTAACCTTATTTCTCCGAGTGGTCACCTGTGAATTCACACATATGGCAGGAATAAACCATATGTGTGAATTCACACTTGACCACAATGGAGAAAAGGTGATTTATAGCTTTTTGTTATCAATGCAAATTCAACAGTTACTTTTTGAATTGAGAGTTACTTGCAATTCCACACCAATGGAGAGAGTCAGAAACACTGGGATGTCTGTGGTGGAGAATAACCAGAAATTGTAATATAGAAGAATATAAAATAGAAGAAATTCCATTTATAATGATCTTGTGAGAAGAAACACAAAAGAAAATGGGGGAGGAGACAGTAGGATGAGAAATATGTGATGGGAAGGCAAACGGATAATTTGAAAAGAAAGCTGAACGAAGGAAAATGTGTGAGGGGGTAGGAAAATAATTCGCTTCATTTGAAAACAGGGCGTTGCAAAGCTTAAGGGAAAAAAACCAATTCTCAATGCTTTTCACGTGGGATGAAGTCTTAAGTTTCTCCCTCACAAATGAGGGAAATTGGTGATTAGGGAAAAACAACGATCCCCAACGCTTTACTTATCGTGTGGGATGAAGTCCTAAGTTTCTCCCTCACAAATGAGGGAAATTGGCGATTAGGGAAAAACAACGATCCCCAACGCTTTACTTATCGTGTGGGATGAAGTCCTAAGTTTCTCCCTCACAAATGAGGGAAATTGGTGATTAGGGAAAAACAACAATCCCCAACGCTTTACTTATCAGGTGGGATGAAGTCCTACGTTTCTCCTTCACAAATGAGGGAAATTGGCGATTAGGGGAAAACAACGATCCCCAACGTTTTACTTTTCGTGTGGGATGAAGTCCTAAGTTTCTCCCTCACAAATGAGGGAAATTGGCGATTAGGGAAAAACAACGATCCCCAACGCTTTACTTATCGTGTGGGATGAAGTCCTAAGTTTCTCCCTCACAAATGAGGGAAATTGGCGATTAGGGAAAAACAACGATCCCCAACGCTTTACTTATCATGTGAGATGAAGTCCTAAGTTTCTCCCTCACAAATGAGGGGAATTGGCGATTAGGGGAAAACAACGATCCCCAATGCTTTATTTATCGCATGGGATGAAGTCCTAAGTTTCTCCCTCACAAATGAGGGAAATTGGCGATTAGGGGAAAACAACAATCCCCAACGCTTTACTTATCGCGTGTGATGAAGTCCTAAGTTTCTCCCTCACAAATGAGGTAAATCGGCGATTATTCCTTCCACAGAAGGAGGAGACGAAGGAGGCAACCCAGAGGCAAAGAAAAAGAAAGAGCAGCGGAGGCAAGAGCTGAGGCACTTCTTTCCCGCAGAAAAGAACTACAACTCACCACAACATTGAGGGAAAGCTGAGGAAGTTGAGGCAAATCCGCTTTGTGGCTCGATTTGAAGGAAAGGTGCCCTCTCGAAAACCTGAAGCGAGGTGCTAAAGAGGTTGAGGCCATTTTAATTTCGGCCCCTCATTCCTGCCAAGACATTCAGGCCTGCCTTACGACAAGGCCGTTTCCTTCAACATTATCTTGGTGTTGAATCGATGCTATGAAAACTGTACTCCAAGTGTTCCAACACCAAAGACTCCTTTATAAGAAAGGAACATGGGAAGTACTCATCCGATATACGTGAAACCATTGCAAAAGTGAGGCAAAAGTACAAAAAGTGTGTGTTTGTGTGTGTAGGGGGAAATGGCATCAAAACCGTAATTTATAGGAATTCAATTGACTTCCATTTTTCCTTTTGGAAACCTACATCTCTCTGTGTATGTATAAAACCACAAGTATGTTAACCAGGCATGGCAGAAAATGAGTCGCTTCAGCATGTCAAGTAAATATTAGTGCAGAAAAGGTGGGTTTTCCTTCCCCACGGTATAAATAAGCTTTGCGCATGGCGAACAATTAAATAAACCAGCACACCCAGTACACCGATGCTCTTCAGTGAAGGATTAAAATGCCTTATATCAAGTAATTAAAGTGTATGTAGTGCAAAACAAATGTTACAACCGAGCCTGACGCACATGCTGCTTTGCGCTAGTTTCCACGTCAGGCAAACATGTGGTGCCTGAAATCACGGACATGTTATATGTACATACGTGTCATATTTGGTACAATGTCCTTAAGCCACAGAAATACCCAAGTACTTAATTTCTTTATATATATATATATACATCAATGTATAAATTCTGCATGTGCATAAGCGCACCCAATTTTACCTTTAAAAAAATCGACCACCATTATCATTGCAGATAACACAAGCACAGACTGGGGGGAAAAATAATATATATCTACATAAACATGTATAATTAGATCCAAGACCTGCTCCCAGACGCCCCAAGGCTCAGAGAGTTTGTGCTTCTAAGTCGTGCAGTCATTTGTGTGCCCTCTTCTTTTAAGCTCGGCCTTCTTCCGGCTCAGGGAAATAAACCAGACCAGTCCTAAATCTCCCATGTTGGAATAGAGGACATGTGCAGCTAAGGAGAGAAACGCCGGTCGTGTGGCAGGCACTCGTATCCGCTCACAGCCGCCACTCGTCCCATGCAACGGACCGTCAAGAGGAATCCCCTGTTCTCCTCCATGCCCGGGAGGGGACAAACAGGGTTTTTGTATTGAAGACACACATATATAGACACATACACACATATACACACATATATATCCAACCATACCGTGCTTCTTTTCCCATACTCTAAGTGGTAGCAAATCAAGGCACGCTGTACTACTAAATTGGTAGCATTTCGGTTAGCCCATATTGCTCACTGGGGGAGATCCACCGTTTTCAACTGGCCGCTGGGCCTTGCGGGGCCGTACAGAGTTACGGACGCAATGTGATTGTTCTGCATCACCTGGACAGGAAAACCAAAGGAACACAGGGGTAAAAACTTCTCCAAAATGGCTGCAATTTCCTATAACTCATTTAAAAAATTTTCATAACATTATTGGGTTGTGTAAGCAGAAAATGTTAGGTAGGATTGCATTGGCTGTAACCCTATTGTGTAAAAACTGGTTGAAAGTACAGTTCTAATGGACATGTGGTCACTCCCCTACTGAAGGGTTAAGTGGGCGGCGATGTGGAACTGAAAGGACAGGCAAATGAAACTGAGTCATGACCATGTGACTGCTGTAGTCCACATTTTGATCTAGGTTCTTGTGGGTTTTTTCGGGCTATGGGGCCATGTTCTAGAGGCATTTCTCCTGACGTTTCGCCTGCATCTATGGCAAGCATCCTCACAGGTAGTGAGGTACTTGCAACAGACCTCACTACCTCTGAGGATGCTTGCCATAGATGCAGGCAAAACGTCAGGAGAAAATGCCTCTAGAACAAGGTTATATAGCCCGAAAAAACCTACAACAACCCAGTGATTCCGGCTATGAAAGCCTTTGACAATCTTTTGATCGTTCCTGCACCTGATCTCACTGGGTAACCTGGGCCTGCTAGCCTGGTGACATTGGGGATTCTGAAGCAGAAATAGGAAGTCAGCAGGAGAGCCAAGATATTTTAAGCCCTGAAAATGAACAGTCTGTGTCTGAAGGCCACATTCCAGAAAGGTGGTTTGCTAGGGAAGCAAGGTCAGAAACTGAACTGAGCTCAGAGGATGAAAATGAAAGTCTAGGTCAGTGGTTCTCAACCTGGGGTCCCCAGATGTTTTTGCCTACAACTCCCAGAAATCCTAACAGCTGGTAAACTGGCTGGGATTTCTGGGAGTTGTAGGCCAAAAACATCTGGGGACCCCAGGTTGAGAACCACTGGTCTAGGTGGGCAGACTAATGAGCAGTTAGATAGGAGATTTACGTTCTGTCAACACAGAGCTTCTCTGGAGAGTTTACAAAGGTCAAGACATCTATTAGAAGAAGTCCTTATCAGTTTTCCAGAGAGAAGGCATGATTTCCTGTCTATATTAGCAAGACATCTATTAGAAGAAGTCCTTATCAGTTTTCCAGAGAGAAGGCATGATTTCCTGTCTATATTAGCAAGACCAGCAGATTTGTTCATCAGTCTAGACAATGTTGGTGTTTTGAGTATAGAACTTCTGTCAAGTCAAGGGATTTCTAGTTCCGTGTTTCCTTTTGTTCATGTTTCGTGCTTCCAAGTTTTTGAAGACCCTTCCTGAATCTCATGTTTTGGATTTGTTTGGCTCTTATGTTCCTGGTTTTTGATGCTACTCATGTAGTTTGAATTCTGATATTTGGACTTTGGTTTTTTATACTATTTTGCTAAATTGCTTTTCATATACGAGGGTATTTTTTAAGTAAGGTCCGTTTTGTTGTAGACACTAGTAGTTCGCGCGCATACCGCAACGAGCACGTGCGTCGTGTACCGGCATGCCTCGGGAACAACTGTGCTCAGTTTCTCTGTAGCTAACCTGTACGGTTCTGTTCTGTGCTTTAAAAATGTTTAAGACTATCAACTCACCCTCTGCATGTGAGGTTCGCTCAGTGATACGGTTTTTGTCAGTAAGGAACCTGCCTGCTGCAGAAATTCATCGACAGATTTGTGAAGTGTACGGTGATACTGTTATGAGTGAAAGCAAAGTGCGTAAGTGGGTACGACAATTCAAAGATGGCCGTGACAACGTCCATGATGAGGACCGCTCCGGTCGCCCTTCTTGATTACAGACGATTTGGTGGCGGCAAGTTTTTATGAAGAGGGTATTTTAAAATTGGTTCAGAGGTATGATAAGTGTTTGAACAAACTTGGCAACTATGTCGAAAAATAGAGTGAAGTATGTACTTTCTGAAAATAAATTTACTTTTTTGAAATAAACTTTGGTTGTGTACTTATGTTCAAACGGACCTTACTTAAAAAATACCCCTTGTATATATGCTTGTGCCATTCCTATCATATATTTTATAATATTTGCCCAATTTTTATTACAAACCTTCCTTCTATTTTGGGGTCACATAAGTATTTCTTGGGTGGAAAACAGAAGGGGAAAACACTGAAGATACCCAGATCTATGCTATGCTATGGGGATGTAGAATTGAAGCCTGAATGCTGTTGCTGTGCGCCTTGAAGTCATTTCCAACTTACAATCACCTCAACATTTTGCCCAATTTTTATTACAAACCTTCCTTCTATTTTGGGGTCACATAAGTATTTCTTGGGTGGAAAACAGAAGGGGAAAACACTGAAGATACCCAGATCTATCCTATGCTATGGGGATGTAGAATTGTGTGCCTTGAAGTCATTTCCAACTTACAATCACCTTAACATAAAAGAATTCCAGCACAGGAACATGGAGAATGTCTAATGCAAATCATGGGTTTTATCTCCTAGCATGTCCTGTTTCCAAAGGAGCTCAGAAATACAGCCAATATTTCAGGTGATGTATTGTCGAAGGCTTTCATGGCCGGAATCAATGGGTTGTTGTAGGTTTTTTTGGGCTATATGGCCATGGTCTAGAGGCATTCTCCCTGACGTTTCGCCTGCATCTATGGCAAGCATCCTCAGAGGTAGTGAGGTCTGTTGGATAGCCCGAAAAAACCTACAACAACCCATTTCAGGTGATCACAAACAAAACTGAAATGTGACTTCCCTTCTTCATTTGCTTCCCATACCTCAAAGATCATCCGCTGCAGTCCAAAACAAAACGTCGATCCAAATGGGTTTGTGTTGTTTGGAGAGGACGACCTGGGAAAAAACAAAACAAAACAAAACATAAGCAAGACATAAGAGATTCCAAAGAAAACAAGTGAGAAAGTGAGCAGACATTTCTGTAATAAATTTTAACAACCTGAACCTAATACATGTTTTTAATGCAACTGCGAAACTTCCAAGTGGTCTCTGAAAGATTTAAAAGCGTTTTGTTTCCTTGAGTCAGGCCTATCCAACCTCCTTGCTCCACATCACATGTGCAAACTGTTGGTTTGGAAATAGGTTTCCTGAAACATCTTGTGTAGGAGCCTATCCTTCCCACAGCAAATCTTCTGCTTACAATCCTTAAAACCTTTCTATTTTGTTAACTGAGGTACTGTTGGGGTTCAGCAGCAAGGTGCTGGGGATTCCTCGGAGGAAGAGGGGGATAAATTGTGGTTCTGGGCACCACAATTCAAGAGAGATATTGACAAGCTGGAATGTGTCCAGAGGAGGGCCACTAAAATGATCAAGGGTCTGGAGAACAAGCCCTATGAGGAGCGGCTTAGGGAACGGGGCATGTTTAGCCTGAAGAAGAGAAGGCTGAGAGGAGATATGATAGCCATGTATAAATATGTGAGAAAAGTCCAGTCATGTCTGACTCTGGGGTGTGGTGCTCATCTCCATTTCTAAGCCGAAGAGCCAGCGTTGTCTGTAGACACCTCCAAGGTCATGTGGCCGGCATGACTGCATGGAGCACTGTTATGCCATGTATAAATATGTGAGAGGAAGCCACAGGGAGGAGGGAGCAAGCTTGTTTTCTGCTTCCTTGGAGACTAGGATGCGGAACAATGGCTTCAAACTACAAGAGAGGAGATTCCATCTGAACATTAGGAAGAACTTCCTGACTGTGAGAGCCGTTCAGCAGTGGAACTCTCTGCCCCGGAGTGGTGGAGGCTCCTTCTTTGGAGGCTTTTAAGCAGAGGCTGGATGGCCATCTGTCAGGGGTGCTTTGAATGATTTCCTGCTTCTTGGCAGGGGTTGGACTGGATGGCCCATGAGGTCTCTTCCAACTCTATAATTCTATGATTCTATGACTCTCTGCCCTGGAGTGTGATGGAGGCTCCTTCTTTGGAGGCTTTTAAACAGAGGCTGGATGGCCATCTCTCAGGGATGCTTTGAATGCAATTTTCCTGCTTCTTGGCAGGGGGTTGGACTGGATGGCCCATGAGGTCTCTTCCAACTCTATGATTCTATGAAATATAAACTTATTAGTATTTCAATGTGAGATCAGAGTGATTTGAAGGCCTCAGATCAGAGAGAAGTACCAGAAGTTACAGAGGAAACGGAATGTTTACGTCATTTTTATCCCTCCCATTTCAGCCCGAAGGCGACCACCCTGAGTCACCTTTGGGCTGAAAGGGGTGGGATAAAAATGATGCAAATAAATAAATAATAAATGTTTAGGATTCCAATGCCCATTCCTTAGCGACTGGGGACAAGTTCGTTTCTCTTGGGAATCAGGGGGGGGGGGAGGAGCAGTGGGGCGGGGGGGGGGGTGACAGTACGTTCGGGGGTGTTTTCTGCTGGGGACGCATCAGGCCGTTCAGGGCTTTTTGCATGGTTGCCACCAATCACTTTTGGACTGTTTGTGGCATCTTGTTCAGCTAGCAGAAGAACCTGGCGCGACCAACATCCACCCGCATTTTACTCCTTCATAGACTAATAATCTTTATTGACATTGTACTGAGTTCTTACCCTAAGTTATTGACGCGCATCCTTTGCCTTTCACCTCCTGTGCCATTTATGAAAAGGACGCAGTATAAACCGTACACTTCACATGTAATCATGTCGATGAATTTCCTTCCAGGAGCAGGCAAGGAGTTCGTGCTTAACTCGACAACAAACCGTATCCAACTGATTCGCGAATAACCTCAACATGCACATCGAGGGTGAGTTGTAATGGAATAGATGTGGACTTCAGAATGTTGCGCGAACTTATAAAGAAGAAGGACTGCGGTGAGTTGATAGATGTGCTAGAAAACAATTAGTTCTCGAATAGTGCCACAGAAAAGGAACAGAATCCGTACAGTTAGCTACCACAGAGTGGGATGGTCGAGAAAGCTGAGCGACAGGTCTTGTTCCCGCGAGAGCAGTGGCGGGGGTAGCACGACGCGAGACGAAGTGCCTCTGTTATTGGGTTCTTCTGGATAGCCGGACGCGGGGGGGGGAAGAGAGCCGCCTGGGGCGGGGATGAGGGGGGGGGGGACTGCGACTAGACTACTGGACACTTACTGAGTGGCTACAACAAAGAAACGGCGGAGGGACCTACATTCTAGAAAGAGATACCCGCTCGTATATTGGAGGGGAACTGAGCTATAACATAGGATTCAAGTTTGAGTCAAAGATTTACATTGAGTTAT